TTCAAGGACAATTTGCGCCTACTTAGACGGCTTATAGATTAGCAAAAGTCTACTTCGACGATACTGCAACTCGTTAACTTGGCTCTTGAATTTTTAATTCCATGAATTGAATTCTAACGCTGCTTTCAGGCAATAAAATAAATAAATGCTCTCAATATTTGGATTATTAAATACCTATGAGTGTTCGAAACGACTGATTTGGACGCTGAAGACAGCGAGAATAGAGATTAAAACATCATCGTGATCGAAATAGCTGCGAGTCATATCGTTAGAATCGAACCTATTTTGCCGTCTTAGCTCTATGTTGCGAAATTAAACGTTCACAGATCCGAAAGTGCGAGAAATCAATTTTCGGCGCAAGAATACGCGAGTGATGGTCGCGCGAGCGGAACAGCGATCCCTTTAGAGTGGACCTTATTTACGACGAACGGTGTCGTATAGAATGCCACGTGAAATACCGCGCTTCGCAAAAGGGTCTCATCGCGGAAAAATATGACGTCCATTTGCGCATCATAGTGTATACCCAGCGTGTCGCGGAAATCGCTTTCTCTCTCTCTCTCTCTCTCTCGACACCCACGTCGAACCCACGAGGACGTCGAGCGGCATTGTAGATCGCCGGCCATTCCGACAAAGTCCGCGATAATCTTTCCCGCGGCTTACTCGAGAAGACGAGCTCCGTCTAGACCATCGGCTCCCCCGGCAGTTTGTCCCAGCCTCGACGTGAGGCTCGCTATATACCCTCCTCTGGCTGAATAGAGCGGAATCGTTGCAACCGCATTCCGCGCTAAGGCACCCTTTATGGACAATATTACTTACATCCCCGTCTCTCGGCGATCCTGGCGATCGCTCTCGGCCGAGGAAAGAGAGAGAGAGAGAGAGCTACCCTATTGTCGTAGGTCCCGACGCTTACGATGTAGCGTCCACGCGAGACCGACTGATCCCGCAATTGATAAGGTGTTGCGGCGAACGCGCGGCTCCGTGGACAGCGTTAAGCGAGCCGCGGGACGACGACAAGGACGACTACGAGAGAGAGAGAGAGAGAGAGAGAGAGCTCTGGTCGCGGTTGACACTCGCGAGATATGAACTGTTGCTACGTGGCTTAGCGACAGCGGCGAGCCGGCCCGCAAATCTGTCACGTTCTTAACGCGTTAATTCGCACAGTCCGCGCGCCGCCTCTCGCGAGCGAATGAGAGCGCCGGACGGTGTCCGACGACGACACTCGACCTTCGACCCTCGCTCGCTCTTGCGCTCTTCGTCTCTCATCCGCTCGTTCCGGCCGAGATCGCGAAGCGATCTCGAACGACCGCACACCTGCCCACAATCGAGATCGCGATTACCTTTTTACGCGCGCCTGGCGATCACTTGGAAGAAACTCTGCTTTGTTAGCGAGCCAGCCAGCCACTCTCTCTCTCTCTCTCTCTCTCTTTCTCTCCCACGCACGCGAGAGGATGGAATGGATTACCGCGGCGCATCTGGGATGAGCTGCAGGTGCGGTAATCCGGTGATAATGGAGAAACGAGATTCGCGCTCACGTACGTTCCCTGCATATTTTAACCGCGCATTTTGCGACACGGTCTCGCGACCCCCGCGCTGGGTCATTGTGCCTAAGCAACCCTTTGGCCGGCATTTCGCCCGACCCTTCGGCGTACATATAGACGTCCGTTTACCGAGCCGCAATTGCACCGGGAGTCGACGAATATTTCACCGGCGGAACAGAGAGCGCGCCAATGAGGAGAGGCTTATCGGCGATTGTTCCTTGATCGATTGTTCATTTCCTCTCGAGAAAACGTCGATGGACGCGCGAGAGAAGCGACTCGCCGTTTACGCGAGTTAATAAACCAGAGAGCGGCTACGGAGCTTCCCGGGGATTTGTTTATCCCACTCGATCGTATCAGACGGCATCCGGCGGGGGAGAAAGCGAAATAAAACATATCGGGAGGACAAAGGGGTGGTTTCTTGGCACATCGGAGCGAGTTTTACATAATGTATCAGCGCCGTACTGTATCCCCTTCGAAGGGATGAAAGGAGAGGAGTCTCTGCTCCCTTCCCCTCTCTCTCTCTCTATCTCGGTGTGACGCAAAGGATGCCGACAAGCCCGGAATTCATGGGCGTGCGGGAAGGCTGCGAGGCTCAGATGGAAATGAGAATAGCGGATTGAACGTCGCGCGCTCGAGTGGAGCTTAGCAGAGCGAGTTAAGTTCGGTTTATTCGATACACCGCCTCGACGCCTTAGACGAGATTGCCTGCCTCGCCCTTCGAGAACCGATTGTTCCGCCGAAGAGATGCGGGAGATCACTGCTTACTCGGAAATCACGGGAACGACGGCGGCAGCGACTTTCGGGACTGAAGCGCTTTTTGTTCCATACTTTCTGTTCCATAGCATGATGGTGGGAGGGAGGAAAAAAAGGGGAAAAATTCGCGCGAATTTTATAAATAAGCAGAAGCGAAGACCAATAACGTGCATTGACGCGGATAATTAATTTTCCAGGATTCCGGATTAATGGTGAAGTCATTTGCACGGACCTACGTAATTTGCGGCCGCGGCAGAACCGCATATTACGTATCGCGTCAACGGCCGAGTACTACCGCGCACGACGAAGACTCACGACGAATGAAACCTGCGGTCGTGAACGTCGGAGTCACGCGCGTGACAGTCACATTGTTGCGCATCGTTCAAAAATGTATATTCCGTTCTGCGTCATAAATAGCGCGTTTTGTCGCAGACAAGGTCGGGAAATTTGTGAGATCCGCCCACATCGCTGAATTTTTCGTATTTTTAGATCAACGTCAGATAAAGCGAAACGAGTTCGCGCGAATTTTGTGGCTGGTCTTCAATAAGAAATCGGGACTATTCATCTTCGTGATAATAACCGGACGAAATGAACGAGCGTATCAACTTCAGATTCAACCGTATGGGATTTGGTGTGTAGGCAAAATTTCGCCGTTTAACAGCTTTCTGTCGGTCAATTTTGTGTCAAGTTAGCGTAAATGACAAGATGAAGGAATGCAGCTTCACAAAAAATATCCAATACATTTCATTGCAGGTCTGTATGCATGTTGATAAAAGGTCGAGATAATTGTAAATTTACTTATTTAAAGAAGGATGTTTTTTATCGGCCATTTTTAAATCGCTCGGTATAAATATCTGGATATTTAGTGCGTATAATATAATATGTTAATTTTATAACTTAAAAGTAATATAAATTAAATAATATGAATATAAAAATTTTACTAATAAATAATAGAAATTAATAATAGATAATAGAGAGTCTTATAAATATATTTATAAAACTCTGTTACTATTGTTAATTTCTACTATTTATTAACATTTTATTACATTTAATATTTAATTTATATTATTTTTAAAATAATAAGATTAATACTTTATTATTGACTAAATGCGTGTGTTCAGATATTTATATCGAATGACTAAAAATGGCCGATAAAAAAGATCACCCTTTAACTCTCCGAGCTCCTCCAGGCCCTTTCGGTGATTACGAAAATTTACCGAAAGCTGACGGTCTTTAACGGCACCTCGTCGTCTCCGCGAAACTGTGCGTCTCGCAAAAATTGCAAAGCACGAGCTTCGTTGAGGATGCAGCCAACGAAACACAGCTGAGGCGCGGCAGCGAGAGTGCGCGTACGAGTACCGGGCCATCGTCGGCGAGCGAACGAGCCGATCTCACCGAGGGACTTCTACACCCCCTCCTCGTAAAAGTGTCCTCGGAGTACGTCCTATTTCTCAAAGCTACTAGACGACGCCGGCCAGGCAGCCGCGCACCGCACGGTACTGCAGCGCGAGCTCGTTTCTACAGCATGGATTTTCAAAATGACCGGCGAGGACGTGCCGTTCCTCCGAGGAATATTCCGGCCGGGGGACTTTACGAGATACGTTCCTTTGCACTCCGCCCTAAAATCCCATGAAGTATGGTCGATTCGTGATGACGAACGACAGGCGGAAACAAGGGGAACCGCGCGCAGAGAACGATGAAATTAGGATTGGTAGTCCTCTCTCTTTCTCCCTCTCTCTTTTTATCTTGAGCCTGAGTTGAAAAAAATGTTGATACTCTGACACTTTTAAGGATAGTTTGCTACTTTAGACGGCCTATAAACGGCCAATTAAAATTACGGCTAATTAAAATTAGACTTAGTAGATGTATTAAATTTAAACAAGAACATTTTTAAATTGCGTACGATTTTTTTAACCGATTTTTAAGAAATCGATTCTTTTAATCCGCCCTTTTTTTTTTTAGTAAATCGATGCTAGTTATTCCGATTCAAGATCGATTTTTTCTAAAAGACCGCCCATCACTGCTATAGACTAATAAGAACCTACTTTGATGATAGACATTTTTTAAATATCTCTCTTGAATCCCTTAATTCTACAAACTAAACTTTAATGCTAATTTGCTTATTAACCCTTTCGCGGCGAACAGCGCCTTTAGGCGCTCAGCTATAGATGCTCATTCTCAGCGAACAGCGCCGTTCGGCGCTCAGGCAAATTTACCCGCGGCGAACGAACAGATGGCGCCCATTCGGAGCCGCTCTCTTCGTACCATACGTAGATTGTACCACACAAAGGAAAATTATTAAAAATTGTTAAAAATTATATAAGATTATTAAAGATTGTTAAACATTACTAAAATTGTTATTATTATTAATATTATTGTTTGATCGACGGGCCGGCCAGCCGCGTTAGAGAAATGACCAGCAAAATCAGCTCCACACACTGCGTTCGGAACGACTCGCATATTTTGTCCGCGCGGTCGATCTGGCATCGGCTGCTTAGAGCGCAACTCTTTCCAGAGCACTCCGCCGCGAAAGAGTTAAATTTGCTTACAGTCAAAGTAGGGTAGTTATATTGTCTTATTAAAATTGAAATTGAACTTATCTCGCTATCTTAGCTTTTACTGTATTGTCGAATTAAAAGTTTAACATAGGGCCAACATTTTCGACGCGGCTCTAAGGCTTGTTCAGAGAAGAGGCGCTCTTTTACTCACTTGTTGTAAAGAACAATGTCCGGCAGCCAAATGTGTTCCGATGGTACATGAAGGGTATCGACACCGCCATAGTCGTCCGGGTTCCACTTCAGCTTGTAGTCGTTCCACTCCTGCAAGCAGAAAGAAAGAAGAAGAGTCATGAGAACGCGTCGTCGGCATTGGGGGGACGAGGGGGCGGATAAGTCTTAATCGATTACACCGGCTAGGAGTCCAAGGGCGTAATTAAGGAGCCGTTCATCAAATCGACCTCGAGAACGCATCGAACTTTACGAGGCCGTTACTTCGCTCGTCGCACCGCCAATCTAAGTAAGCGACGGAGAAGGCCTTCTTTCGAATCACGCCGGGATCTCCGCATCGGCGCGAGAGATGGCCCATAATCGTCCTAACTGCCGTCGATATATCTCGCCATCGAGAAGTCTCGGGGCCCTTTTTCGGGAGAACGCGATCCTCGTAATTGCCGAGCGCAAGTTTCGCCGGTTTCGCGATGTCCAGCAGCGGGGCGTATGCGAGATCCACCTCGCCGCTGAGATTCACTTTGCGAAATCACGACTTGGTGCGTCGTCCACGTGGGACCGGCCGATTAAGGAGGGAAGTAATCGCGAGAGAAAGAGAGAGACTTCGCTTTTTCTCCCTTCCCGTTAGCCACGATTATTGTCCTTCTCCTTTCTTCTCCCCGCCACGTTACCTATATCACTGCTCTAAGATATGAGACGGTTTCTTTGTTACTTCGTTACTTCGTTATATCTCTCCGGTAACGAGGAGAAACGGGGCGGAAGGAGCAAGATGGAGTCGAAAGAGAATATCAGAGGAGAATCAAGGTGTTACGGTATACACAGACCGTAAGGGCGAAAGTATTATGTGCATCTTATGAGCCCGTCACGCGCAATTCGCGCCGATATCTTGGCCAGGCGCGCAACATTTGTTCGCCACCGAAGTTTTCGATAGGAAGTTAATTTGTGTGAATGTTGGCGCACGCAGTCTTTGCAACTGTAGACTTCCGAGCTTGAATGATTAAGTTCGCTTTTTAATTCTACAGATTTCATTTTAACGCTATCTTGATAACTATTTTGATATTAAAATCGCTGAAATCGTTGGCATCATCAAGGTCAAGGTAGGAGTAAATTATATTATTAGAATTGAAATCGTGAATCTGTTTCGCCATCTTGGCTCTTAGTGTATCGTAGAATTAAACTTAACATTAGGCTTAACATGCGACCAAAATTTCGACTCGAAATAACTCGCAGGAAACGCCAACACTTTCTCACAACCGGATCGCCGCTCGGCGCGACGACGCTCTCGTTCGATTCGGTTATAGATTGAACTCCGCCAATTCGTTATGTCGAATGTCCATCGAAGTGTTGGGATAGGGAGGAAGGGGGAGGGAAGAAAAAGAGAAATAGCGAAATCGTTTCTGCGGCAACCGTTCACTCGTGCATGCGTGCACTGGATAGATATGATTGAAAATTATTCCGCGGGACAAATTACGCGTCTTCCCTTCGGGCGAGTTATCATTTAATGCGAAATACAAAGCAACGGACCGCACGGCAAAAAGCAGACAAAATTGCTTTTCAAACGCACCGCGCGCGTATAATATAATAATTTCGTTTTTCAGGGTCCGTTAATTTATTTGCGTCGACGAAGCTTGTGTTCCCGCTATTAAACGGTCGTGCGCGCGTACGGAGATTTCATCAGCGTGAAAAAGGAAGAAGCGGACTCTATGAAATGGAATATGGGCGATCTCGTTGCGGCGAAAATAAACGCTTTTTATGAAGAGTTTCGCTTCTATAAAAACAACTAGCTGCATAAATTTTGAGAGTTCTCTCTCTTTCTCTCTCTCTTTTTCTCTTATTGCATTCTCTCCCCGCTGCACGTGCCATGCAACAGCGCGCGGTGCTGAAATTTTTGCCGACTCGTCTTACCCATTTTTAAAACACGAGACAGCCAAAATCGTTTTCATTTCAAGTCAAACGCGATGATGTATTCGCAGCCAACGGCGATACATATCTAACGCGTTTGAGAAAAGAGCAAACGATTTCGAATGGGAGCATTTTCAGCGCTAATTCCGAAAGGATTTCATATTGCCAACGATATAAATTAACACACTGCCGACCAATCGGATAAATCTACATTTTCGATGATCATTGATTGACCTATCAACCTAAACTTAAACTTTTGATTATTCCAGTTTCCAATTATTATTTTTACACTGAAAGAAAAACTACATAAATGTTTGCTAAGGCGTATTAGAGTAATTATTTTACTTGGATTAAGTAAATATTATTTGAATGTAACATTCTGAAAGAAAAAAACTTACTGTATTTAAGTAATATTTAACAATATCTATTTAATCCAAATAAAATAATTACTCCAATATTCTTTAGCAAATATTTATTCAAATGAGTATTATTTTTCTCTCTCAGTATAATTTTAAATTTTATCGTATTGACTTCTATTTTGCAAGAATTGTGAAGATTCAGATCAAGATATGTTTAAAAAATGTTTGGTTTTTGAAACCTGATAAAGCCTGATAAAGCGCGATCGGCGATGTGTTAATATAAATCGAACTCAATAATATTCAGACTCATTATTACATTCCTCCCCCCCCCCTTCTCTTATCGTCCTAACGGAAATTAAAGAAGACATTCTCGTTCAATCATCTTACGCGAGTGATGCACAGTCAGAAAACAATCGCACAGTACCGGGGAGGACACCCATTCGCGATGTATATCGATGTACGCGTTCACGGCGCGTTCCGAGTTTCGTTGCTCTTGCGGGCATTAATTATTCCACTCGCAATTAGCCGAGTTTGGTACGTATCTGGCGGCCTCGCGGAGCGCTTAAAATTCCACGCACGATTCCAACGGACTCAGATCGAAATCAATTATCGCGACGCGCAACGAGCGGAATAGCCGAAGGACTTTTCTCTCTCTCTCTCTCTCTCTCTCTTTCCCCCTCTCTCTCTCCTCTCATTTCCTCTCTCCCTTTTTTCATTCTTTGCGCGCGCGTGGCTCGGTTAAACGTAATCCAGATATTATTAACAACTAATGGATTAATATCTGCGATATATTCCGCGCAGCGGAGATAATCTGGACTGATGTGCGACGCACTTTGCGCGCAATTAACTCGGAAAATCTAGAATCCCAGATATGAATAGAGAAGCCGTCATCGGGTTCGATATATCGGGAATCGCGATCTTATTTGTACGATGATATTTGGAGTAAGTGAATAAGGAATAGCTGCCAATTTCGGCTATCCGGGCACCTGAATCTCTTCGTAATCTCTGAGTATACGGTTAATTTCAGACATTACAAATTGTTAATTTTTGCAACGGTAACAGATAATAATGAGATGATCATCCGAAATTAGCCGTATGCTCTGTTAAAACGCTTGTTACACGAGGACATTTTAGCGTGCAATACTTATGCCAATCACGATGGAGATAATATCCGAAATCTAATAACATTTCTGTATTTATGTCCAGAAAACCCGGGGAAAATCTAGCCGCACGAGAGCGCGCAAGTCGACTAGTTGGCTTCCTCCGAGCACGATCGCGCGATCGTAAAAATGCGGCAGTATTTTTCAATACAGCCGTAAATTACGCCACACGTCATTTGCATCGGAATTTTTCTACTCGCGCGCGCCTGGCCCCGCGAGCGTGCGCGCACGCTCCGTGAGGAGAACGATTTATCGAAGGACGTTGGAGTCGATTGTGCGACATCGTAAAATTGCATACCATGGACCGCTAGAGAGCACAGCCACCGACCGACCGACTGGTGCGCAGCCTTGCGACAGAGAGAGAGAGAGAGAGAGAGAAGTGAGAGAAAAACGCCGGCAATTTAGTGACAATATTTCCTTTCTTATGGCACAAAGTGCTCCCGTGATATCGCTCGTTCGGGAGAAATGCGTTACAGGAAATTTCGATCTTTCCCGCACCATGTCATAAATATTGCCAAATCATTTATCGGCCCTCGTCGCGATCCACCGTCGTCGTAAAATTCAGCGTCATATGCGTGTGCGCGCTGTGCTCGCTTGGGCTTGCTAAATCCAAAAGTCTCAATTATCGGATATTTATGGATTCTAACGGCACACAGTATACTTAAAAACGCCGGACATATAGCAAATTAAACAACGTTTAACTTGTTAACCGGACATCGGATAAGACCGCTTAACAGTCGGGTTCGAGACTGGACAGACTTTGGCAACCCCATCCGTGCCTCGTTTCGCGAATAAACTATAAATTCCACCGTTATCCAAGTTACTACGGTTCTCGTTTTTAAATATATCTCTTTGTTAAGCGAATGGGACTCCAAGTCGAATGGCTGGAGGCAAAGCGAATCGTAAATCGGCTCGCGCCATGTCAAGAAAGATATTGTCGCAGAGAGAGAGAGAGAGAGAGAGAGAGAGAGAGAGAGAGAGAGAGAGAGAGCACACAGGAGGAAATCGGCGAGAGGGTGAAGGAGGCGAAATCGACGACTATCTAGCGTAACCTTTTAAACTCGAGAATGGCTGAGAAGCTCCGTATTTTCTCGGGCGCGCCGTCGCGCATCTCCTGTCGCGCGGCGCCCAGAGGATTTGTCGATGCATCCTGGCGGAGCGCGACAGAAAGAGAGAGAGAGAGAGAAAGAAAGGGAGATTCGGGAAAAGGGAATTTGCAACCGCAAGAGAGAAGGAAAGGAAGAGAGAGAGAGAGAGAGAGAGAGAGAGAGAGGGAATGGGGGGAGGTGAGAAAAGAGAAGAAAACTTGGCACGGTTTATTCCGTCGCCGAAGTCACGCGTGTATCACGGATTGACAATCGGGAGATTTCAAGATCGTAAGAGACAGCGCTTCTTCCATTACAATGCAACAGCCGGAATAAAACGGGTGAGAGTGCAACGCGGAGGGCGGAATTCATCGTCGATTATTGCGTCGAGCCGTGGCGCGCGCCACCCAGATTTAGCTGCCGCCCGCGCGCAACAGCGTCGCTTTTATGAAAAAATTTCGCGGCGGAAAACACAAACGCGAATTTCACCCTGGCAGTTTCATCGGCGATATTTCTCGCGACGCCGCGCGGAATATCGCAGAATTGACGGCGGGATCGCTCGCGACCGGCCACCGGCGGCTTTATGAAAC